GCATCAATGCTGACTGTTTTAGAAATCCAAACAACACTAGTATTGTTTTGAAAGCTAAAAAAGAAAATTATAAGAATGACAACATTAACAGCATATAGAAATCTCACTGTTCCCCACCCCTCCCCCTTTTTAAAAAGGAAACTGCGACTTCTTCTATCGAATGAGATATAGAGGGAAAAAACATAATTGTTTATATAACGATACCTAATGATATTTTTCCAAAAACATCGACAAATAATGCATCTGTTTCAAGGATTTACACAATAAAAATGGAAGATCATCAAATAAAGTTCATATCGATTACGTACAGACAATTATAACAAACACTCCACAGAATACAGGACCTTCACACAGAGGTAGCTAAGATGGAACATTCTCCGAACACGTGCAAAACCTGAGTCATGATATATTTTTAATTTAGGAAGTAGATCAAAGGAAACCTGCTTTTTTATTTAATTTCTAGAACCGCGAACTTGTTGCGAGGAAATACGATTATTATTATTAAGATATGGGCTGAGCAGTTTAGAATTAGCGGTAAGCTGTATGATACAACACCAGCTCCCTTGAGAGGCTAGTAAATCGGTTTGGTTAGGAGCATTGCTTCTTACACTATCAAATTGAGTTACTATAAACTAAGTAGGAATCAGCAGGTCAAATGAAACTTGTTGTGTTCTGTGAGCCAGTTAAATTTTCCAGTTGGTCTCTGATTTGCGTGATTGGCTTAACAGTGTAACGAACACTCCAGTAGAACAGACGGCAAAGGTGTGTTCGTCTTAGACGGACAATGTAAAAAATCCATAAGCGAAAAAAGAGACTAGAGTCCAAACTCCTTAGAAAATATATTAAACTTGTTAAATGAACCACAACATTTGGCTAAAATAAAAACTCCGAAACATCTTAAAATTCAAACTTAAGGGTTGAAAGAAAAGCGCGAACAAAAGCTCAAATCAATTATATAAACACCGTTAAAACAAGCAATAATAGTACGCGAAAAATGATTTCCTAATTGTGAAATCACGTGCCCCGCACGTGAATACAAAAAGAATACAAGGCGGGGAAGGGAAAAATGCAATTTGAAATTTAAAACTAAAAATATTTTTCAAACAATCCTTGCACAAGTTTTTACTAATTTCTCCTTTTTTTCAAACTGAAAAGAAACAGGATCAAGATGGACAGCACTGAAGAAGCTGTATCAGTTATCTTCATAGGCATGGTCATCGCCGAGTTCCTTCACAAAACTGGTCGCGTGTTGCAAGCCATCGAGGTATACAAGGAATGTTTAATTATCTTACACAGTCAGCCGCAGGCTATCGATAGTTCATTGGCA